GGTCTCAGCAGGCATCTGTACCTCCCAGTTTGAGTATATTGTATTCTGAGAATTATTCTAGTATTTAAAAATGCAAACATTTCACCCACCATGTGCACCAAGTGCAGGCCAACCCATCTCATTAGTGTTCAATAAAGGCAACTGAGGTCATTTGCAATACTGGATGAAACAGACAGCGCTAGTCTTCTTACAAGAGGGTGTACCAGTATTTTATCAGAGCATTTTAGAGACAACTTTGTCTATATGGGATTTTTATTCACTTGCTGATTTACTCTGTACACCTCACTTAAAACACAACTCTCTCATTTGCTATGTAGAAAGACAGGTGCTGTCAGTAGGAGCAACACAATCTGCCAACAGAGGCAGCCAGTGGTGCACAATCACTTGTTCAGGGGCTGGACATGAGAGAGTTCTCTCGGTTAAACTCAGTACAGTAATCCACCTTTACTCACAGGAAATATCTTCCAAGTCCTTCAGTGGATATCTGAAACCTTGGATAGTACCAAGCCCTATAAACACTGTAGTTTTTATTAGGCACAGCAAGAAATTAGCAATAATAAAAATAGAAAAATCATACTAATGCACTATAATAAAAGTTATGTGAATGTGGTATGTCTTTCTCTTGCTCAAAAAGTGTGACTTGAACGTAGGACAGTGATGTTGCAACAGCCCAGCTGATCGCCAAGACCTAAACTAAGGACTAACCAGCAAGTAGCACATATAGCACGGATGCACTGAATAAAGGGGAAAGGCAAGTCCTGAGCTCAGAGGGACAGGAAGGCACAAAAATTATCATGCTACTCAGGGAGGCATACGGTTTAAAATTTATGAATTGTTTCATTCTGGAACTTTCCACTTAATATGAACTTGGTGGACTGTGGGTCTCTGAAACTGCAAAAGACAAAGATGCAGGAAAAAAAAGTGTAATACTGTAATATGGTATGCACAATTTATTTTCATGTTTGGAAATATTGCCAAAGACATTATAAGGGTTTGAAGTCATAACAGAAAAGCAGCGGGCTTCCAGTCAGGAACTGTAAGTGCAACTCCCAGCTTTGCACCTAATTAAGAGATGACCCTGTCACCTATTTAACATGATCATACCCTATCTGTAAAATTCGAAATGGTCTATTTTACTCCCACTGGAATAAAAATAACAAGTGTTAAATTATATATAT